CACAGGTAACATCATACTTAATAGTGAAACACCAGAAGCTTTTCCCCTAACATCAGGAACAAAACAAGGTTATCTACTCTCACCATTCCTATTCAACACTGTACTGGCCAGGGCAATTAGGCAAGGGAAAAAAAAGCATCCACATTGAAAAGGAAAAAGTAAAACTATCTCTATTTGCAGATGGCATGGCCTTATACATACAGAATCCTAAAGAATCCACAAAATAACTACTAGAGATAATAAACAAATTCAGTAAAGTTGCAGAATGCAAAATCCATGTACAAAAATCAGTTGTATTTCTATACTCTAGCAATAAACAATCTAAAAAGGAAATCAGAAAACAAATTCCATTTACAATAACATCAAAAAGAATAAAACACTTAGGAATAAATTTAAGCAAATAGGTGCAAGACTTGTATGCCAAAAACTATAAAACATTGTTGAAAGAAATAAAAAACCTAAAGAAATGGAAAGACATCCTGAGTTCATCGATTAAAAAATTATATATTGTTAAGATTGGCAATATTCTCCAAATATATGTCAAGATTCAATGCAATCCTTAACTCTTAACTGTTCTTTTTGCAGAAATGGACAACCTAATCCTAAAATTCATATGGAATTGCAAGGGACCCCAAATAGACAAAACAATCTTGAAATAAAAAGTAAAGTTGTAGGACTTATACTTCCCTGTTTCAAATCTTACTACAAAACTCCAGTAGTAAAAACAATGTGGTAATGGCATAGGTTTAGACACATAAATCAAGTGTTTTTCCAGGAAGGCAACAAGACAAAATTCTCTTCAACAAATGATGCTGGAAAAACTGAATAACTACATGCAAAAATAATTGGACCCTACCTTGTACCATGTACAAAATTTAATTCAAAATGAATCAAACACCAAAACATAAGAGCTAAAACTATAAAACTCTTAGAAGAACAAACGAGGGTAAGTCTTCATGACTTTGAATTTTTGGCAATGGAATCTTAAATATTATACCAAAAGCACACGCAAACAAAGGGAAAAATATATTTGATCAAAATTAAAAACTTTTTGCATCAAAGAACGCTAGAGATTAAAAAGACAACCTAGAGAATGGGGGAAAATATGTGTAAACCAAATATCTGATAAGGCCTAGCATCCAAAATATATTAAAACTAATACAATTCAACAAAAAGACAACACAATTTTTAAAACGACCAAAGGTTGAAATAGACATTTCTTCAAAGAAGATATGCAAATGACAAGTAAGCACAGGAAAGATACTCAACATCATTAGTCATCAGGAAAACCAAAACCAATACTTTGGAAGGCTGAGGCAGGGGGATAGCTTCAGGCCAGGAGTTTAAGACCAGCCTGCCCAACAAAGCCAGACCCCACTTCTACAAAAAAACAGAAAAATTAGCTGGGTGTAGTGGCATGGGCCTGTAGTCCCAGCTACTCAGAAGGCTGAGGCAGGAGGATCACTTGAGCCTAGGCTTTCAAAAATACAGTAAGCTAAGATCAGGCCATTGTACTCCAGCCCAGGTAACAGATCTTGTTTCTAAAAAAAATAAGAAAATTCTGATAAAATAGGTCTGAGGTGAGACCTGAGATTCTGCATTTCTAAAAAGCACATCACATTTTTAGTACTGAATTATGTAACACCCAATTCTGTTTGCTTTAGTTTTTCTGATTATTGACTATACCCACATCAGTAACATTGGTGAGGGTTAATTATATAATTAATGTAGAATCCCTCATGAAAAGCAGCTTCCTCAAGCCAGTAAGGCAATGAATTTCTACCCTAACCTTTTTTAAAAGCTGATTTGCATTGAAAGGTAAATAACCACCACCATCTCATCACCATAACAGTTATAACTGAAATATTATCATAATAATAATAATAGCTATGACTTATTAAGTACATCCTATATGTCCCAAAGGCTAGACATTTCTCTGTTTTACCTAACTAATCCTCTAAAACACCCTGGGAGGTAAATATTCTCATTCACAAGATTCACACTGTCATAAGTGCTCTGTGCCTGCCCCAAAGTACTTGGAAATGAGGTAAATACAAGATCCTCTTAAAGTGAACTGAAAAATCAAAACATCATAGATTAAAGTATTGACAAGAGAAGTCACCTAAATGACACAACATGATCTCTAAACTAGCAAAAGCCCATATAACCAGTTTGAATGTATTTATAGCTAAAGAAAGAAATGTATCAATTATGGGGAAGAGGTTAAGGTACAGTAAAAGGAGAAGAACACTGGCAAACAGTTGGCTTTAGCTAAAAAAACTTTAAAGAGTGTTTCGTTCCTATTGATAAAACGTCATCTCTACTACAAGATGGATGCAAAAGCCTTATAAAACATCTGATGGTCTAACTTCCTGTGTCTAACATGACCACTAAGAAACCTGATCTGCCTATGTACAAAATAAGTCATTAATTATGAAGGCTCTAAACACTTTGTGTGACAGTAATTCCTCATAGTATGCTAGTTTTACATGGTGGCCATATGAGTTTCATTAATGTGCATTTATTTACCATTAAGATAAGAATGAACCCATTCTCACTCAACTGAATTCCTCTTGAGGCTGAAGAGCCAGGCTCTGGGCCACAGTAAATTTGCCAAGATGATGAATACTACTCTGCAAAAACCAATAGGAGGAAGTTTCCAGTCCCGATTTCTGCTGAACATCAAAGGATCACAGTGTTTTTGCTTGAAAAGCAAATCTTGCAAAACATACCTCATCTAGGATTTCTCTATTTCGTTGCAGTAGTTCAGGTAGTTCTTTGAACAACTGATCAACAGTCTGGATGCCTCCCCGTTCAATCACAGAGGTGGACTTAGTCAATATAGACTGAGGTACAGAATCTCCTGACACATCTTCAATTGCTGCTGGAAGATTAAGGGAAGCCAACACCCTGAAAATATGAGATACTGTTATTAGTATTTATATTTAAGCTTATGTTATATTAAAGTTTTACATTAATATTTATAATTCAGACTTAAACGCTAAAAAGAAAAACTACAACAGTATTAAAATATACTAGATATCTTTGACTTACAGTTCAAACTTCTTGTAATCTAAGTAATTAAAAAAGATTATGTTAAAAAAAAGCAGTCTTTTGTCATACTTTTGAGTGTTATATTATCACCAACAAATCAGAAATAATATACAAAAGCTATAATTTCATATGATCTAGGAAAATGTCATTAAAACATAGGTGATCTAAGTATTCATTACAGAAATCTGTTCTCAGTTTTGTGGCACAGTAACAATTCCTCAGTTATTTTATATACATTATGGGGAAGGGGGAATTTATCCTTATCTACCACTTAAAGACAAAAAGGCAAATGAAATGATATAATATAATGAACTCCTCAGAAAATAAGCTCTATAAAAACTCAGACTGTCTTTTAATCAAATACTAAACTTATGCTGCTTTCTTGTTGAAGAAAAATGATGTCAAAAATCCATGCATTCATCAAAACTAAAAAAATGAAAAGGTAAGCCAGACTAGGAGAAAATATATAGTTGACCCTCAAACAACACAGGTTTGAACTACTAGGGCCCACTTACACATGGATTTTCTCCATCTCTGCCACCCCTGAGACAGTAAGACCATCCCCTCTTCTTCTTCCTCCTCCTCAGCCTACTCAATGTGAAAACAATAGGATGAAGATATTTATGATAATCTATTTACACTTAATGAACAGTAAATATACTTTCTCTTCCTTATGATTTTAATAACATTTTTTCCTTCTAGCTCACTATAATTTAAGAATATGGTATATAATACTAACAAGATATAAAATACATGTTAAACTATTTATGTTACTGGTAAGGCTTCCAGTCAACAGTAGGCTATCAGTAGTTAGGTTTTGGGGGAGTCAATAGTTATAAACTAAACCTGGCATGGTGGAACATGTCCACAGTCCCAGCCACTCGGGAAACTGTGGTAGAAGGATCCCTTAAGCTCAAGGAGTTCAAGGCCAGCCTGGGCAACATAGAAAAACCTCATCTCTAACAAAAAAGTTATCACAGATTTTCAACTGCATCAGGGAAAAGGGAGGTTGGCATTCTTAACCCCTGCAGTATTCTAGGGTCAACTATATCCTTAACTACCTATATCTGACAAAGGACTTGCCTCCAAAATATGTAAAGAACTCTTTAAAGATAATTAAGAAAAACTCAATTTTAAAAATGAGAAAAAGATTTCAACAGACACTTCACAAAAGATGTATGTATGGCTAATAAGCCCATGAGAAGTTGTTCAGTATGATTAGTAATTAGGGAAATAAAAATCAAACCACAATGAGATATTGCTACACACACACTAGAATGACTAAAACTAAAAAGACTGATGGTAGTAAGTGCTGATAGCTGATAAGGATACAGAGCAACTATATTTCTCAAACAGTGCAGATGGGGACATAAAATGGAACTACCACTTTGGAAAACAATCTGGCAATTTCATATAAAGTAAACATGCACTAACTGTACAGCACAGCAAATCTACTCCTAGGTATTTACCCAAGAGAACTAAAACACGTCCACACAAAGATTTATATATGAATGTTCAAAGCAACAAAATGTCCATCAAGAGTTGAAAGAATAAACTGTTGTATGACCACAAAATGGAATAAAAAGAATAAAACTGATACACACAACAAAGATGAACCTCAAAAACACTATGCAAATAAAAGAAGCCAAACACATTTTGGGTATACACTGTACATACCACAAGAATTACATACTATATATACTGTAACAATACTGTAATGTACTATAAACTGTAATATACATACTGTACATGCTATGATTACATTTATATTAAATTGTATAAAAGCTAAAACTGACAGGGAGCAGATCAGGGAGCAGAGTGGCCAGGGGCCTGCAGAGGAGGGACTGAAGGAAAAGAGGCATGAGAGAATATTTTAGGGTAATATTCACACATCCAGTGGTTAAGTAAAAAATATCCTGATCGCAGTGATGGCAATAGTTATGTGGGTACATACATTTATCAAAACTAACTGAACTATACGCTTAGAATGGGTATATATTACTGTGTGCACATTATACCTAGAATTTTTTTAAACCAATGAATTATTTTCTTAGTCTTCAATCCACAAGAAACAAGTTCCAAATATTAAATGCACTATGTATCTTAAAGAGTTCATTTCAACGTCTCATTTCCCATAAATAAATAGCTCTTAAAATACAAACCAGTAGTCAAATATTCTTGTCTTGTTTCTGTAATTAAATTTCTTTCAACTATAATATATTTGCCAGGGCTTACTAAATACAATGTCCCCCAAAAATGTATGTGTTTTGTGTGTCCGTGTCTACATTTGCTATTTTATTATATATACCCTTGACATTTAACTATAAGCTCAGAAAACTAGACTGCCCTTGCCTGCCCACATCAAGGATGGTTCTGGTGATTTTCTTTCAAACCTAACTTTTCCCATAACAAAGATGGCACCTGCGCTTCCAAGTTCAGTGCTCTTTCAGCTGCTGGGAGGACTGTGGCAGCCCAGGAAGCCACTTTAAGCAGCCAGTAAGAGGACAGCAGTGCTTTGGCCCTGCCATCAGCATGTGACATAGAGATTATGTCCTGCAGAGACCCAGCCAAAAGGCCAACAGAGTGAAGCTTTTAGTTCTGTGGAATCCCTTTCTTTTCCTTGCTCTTCTGATGTGGATCCAGGTTTTAATTCTCTAGTTGAGCCCAGTCCTTCTTTGATATACACAATTTGTTTGAGTATTGGATATCAAGGCAGCAATTCTGTGAAAAATCTTTTAGTATCTGAACTTAATCAACTGAGAAAACTTTTTAAAAATTGAATCCATCAACTATAAATATATTAAATACGGGGCTTAAAAATTACATCGAAGTCTGTGGCCAACATTTTTTTAATCTATAAAATATACTTTGGTTAAAACTTTACTGTAGTATACTAGATATTGAGGCTTAGGAATTTCTGTTATCTATTGGTAGTTACACATTACCCCAAAACTCAGTGGCTGACAACAACAGACACTGATTATCTCAGAGTTTCTGAGGCTCAGAACTCCAGGAATGGCTTCGCTGGGTGGTTCTGGCTCAGGGATTCTCATGAGGTTGCCGCCAAGCTGAAACCTTCCCTAGCGCTGAAGGTCCTGCCTCCAAGCAGACTCACTGTGTGACTTTTGGCTGGAGTCTTCAATTCTCTACATGGGCCTTGCCACAGGGCCACTCAGTGTCCTCAAAACATGGCAGTCAGCCCCCCCACCCCCCGCTGTGAGTCATAAGAAAGTGAGAGCAAAACAGAAGCTACAATGTCTTTTATAATCTAATCCCAGACATGACAGACCCTGACTTGTGCTGCATTCTACCAGCCACACAGACCAACCCTGGGATCAAGTGGAAGGGACTGTGCAAGAATGAGAACACCAAGAGGTGGGGATCCTTGGGGCCATCTCAGAGGCTGGCTACCTCATCCGCTATTGCTCATGCAAAATTTCATTTAACTAAAAGTTCATCGTGTTGACTCAAGTGAATTGACATCTGCTGCTTCCACTGTTCATTTTTTGGAGAAATTTAAAGGGAATGCCCAGGAGTAGGGGATGGGAAAATTCACACTTAAAGGATGCAGTGGGGGATAGGCAAGCTTGTAGTTCTCACTCCAGCAGTGCAAAGGCAATTTGTACCCCAATAACACTCTGAAAAAAAAATTTAAATTTAAAAATTTAAGAAAATAAAAAATAAATAAGCTCAGAAAACTAAAATGTTCATAAACTAAAGAATAATCAAAGAAAACTTTAGAACTTCAGAGATAGATTTACGAAAGTTAAGCTCTACCTACCCATTTGCCAAAGTGGTGGCTTCTCTCATTTGAGCAATTGATCTGTTAACCAAATCAGCTTTCCTCTGATTATAGGCAGCCAAAGATTGCTGTACTGACACGGGAACCATCTTCTCAAATAGATCTAAAATTAGGAAGGGAAATTACAATAAAATTTTAAGACAAAAACTCAAACTGTCAAAGTGACTATTCATATTTTCTTTCTAGTATTCAGTCTACAAAAATGTAAAAATCATAACTAAATCACTATTAAAAGTACAGTGATAAAGAGAATTTTTAGATCACTATATTCATGGACAATGGCAACAATGAAAATTTTTTTCTTTGAACTTAATTTTCTTTAACTTTTTAAGATGTGTTTGTCATTGAGTTTGAAAAATCTTCAGTGACACTCTTCCTTTGTTGATTAAACTGACTAAGTAGGTCACAGTGACAGAATTTAATTTTTGGCTCTACCACTTCCTAGCTACATGACCTTGGGCAAATTATTTAACCATTATGTGCATGAATATCCTCATCAGTCAAATAGGGGCAATAATAGTACCCATCTCAATAGGGTTGTTGTAAGAAATAAATGAACTAATATTTGTAAAGTGCTTAAAAGAGTTCCTGTCACATGGTAAACACTTTGTGTTTACTAAAAATTCATCCTTTCCCAGTAACAGAATGTTATCCTTCAGATCTTGGCTAAAGACTATCGTAATACTAGGTATATTTATGGTATAACATTTATTTATCTGATACAAATATGACTATAGGAATTAATGTGTTTAAAGAAATATTTATGCATGTTTATTTTTAATGGTAGCACCTTAAATAATATAACAAATGTTATTAATAAAATGATAAGTGCTGAAGTCTTTTTGGGTTTTGTTTGTTGGTTGGTTTGGTTTGGTTTGGGTTTTTTTGACAGAGTCTCGTTCTGCTACCTGGCATAGAACACAGTAGTGTGATCATACCTCACTACAGCCTCAAACTCCTAGGCTCAAGAGATCCTCCTGCCTCAGCGTCTCCAGTAGCTGGGACTACAGGCGCGTTCCACCACGCCCAGCTAATTTTTCTATTTTTTGTAGAGATGGGGGTTTTGCTATTACCCAAGCTGGTCTCGAACTCCTGAGCTGAAGTGATCCTCCTACCTCGGCCTATCAACATGGTAAGATTACAGGCATGAGCCACCAAACCCAGCCAACAAGCACTAAAGTTTTAATCATTATTCAAACACACAGTTTCAAGATTTCTGACTCTGTTATACATGTTTTATTATCATTTACTTTCCCTCTTAAAATTTTACTGAAGATACAACACAATTTTTATTCTCACATTCATGAACAAAATGAATGCAAATTATATTCAAAACAAAATAGCAACTTGTATTTTAGCTAGAAAATACAGATTAAAATGGAGAAAAAATGAGTAAGATTAAAGCATATCTGAATAACTGACATACCAGTAAATTTCTGGCTGATAGGCACATTGACTGGGGTAGACTTCACAAGTGTGGCTTTGCCAATAGGGTCTAGATCTTTAAGGTCTGGAACTCGATCATGATATATGAAGTCATTATCCTTCTTTGCTGCAGTAAGGGCACGGTTGATTTTGTCAGAAAAATCTTTCACATTGACATATTCATCATAGCGAGATGCCACTGTTTTAATCAATTCTGCTGCATGCTAAAAAAAGGAAAAAAATTTAAAAAAAAAGAGAACATTTTCTTTCTTTCTTTCTTTCTTTCTTTCTTTCTTTCTTTCTTTCTTTCTTTCTTTCTTTCTTTCTTTCTTTCTTTTTCTTTCTCCACCACCAAGTATGCAAGCATTGGTTTAAAAAAAATAAATAAATAAGCCTTATTTCAAGGATTTGCATTTCCAACACTGTGACTGACAAGATAACCTGGAAATTCACCCATCACAAAATAGCTAAAAATTAAAGGATAATACATAGCAGACATGCCTTTAAACAAATGGGTGAATTACCATGATAGTAAAAGAAATCCATGGGCCAATCAGTATAAACTGAAATTGAGGAAAGCTGACTGTTAGGTTATTTCTATACCTCAAAGAACCAGCAATTAAAATTTATTAAAAGCCCTCATGGAGACCTGAGACAAGGTTCTTGAAATCACACAAGACAGAGAACTGAGATGCCTCCTTCACTCCCTCACCTGAAAGCAGGAACCTCAAAGGGCTACACCTTCAGTGGAGGGTAGATTTGAAAAAAAATTACCCAACAACATAGAAAGTCAACAAAGTATCCTGTCATTTCATCATCAATAAGAAAAGTTTATCTTTACAATATGATGAACATATGCCTCACACAAATGTAAGTCTCAAATGATATTACTTAGGTGGTATTAGGTACAGTAACATCAGATAAAATAGACAATAAGGCCAAAAGCATTGTTAGGAATAAATTCAAAACACAATTTTTTTTTTTGAGACAGAGTCTCACTCTGTTGCCCGGGTTAGACTGCCATGGCATCAGCCTAGCTCAACAGCAACCTCAAATTCCTGGGCTCAAGCAATCCTCCTGCCTCAGCCTCCTGAGTACCTGGGACTACAGGTATGTGCCACCATGCCCAGCTAATTTGTGTGTGTGTGTGTGTGTGTGTGTGTGTGTTTTAGTTGTGCAGTTAATTTCTTTCTATATTTTTAGTAGAGACAGGGTCTCACTCTTGCTCAGGCTGGTCTCGAACTCCTAAGCTCAAACAATCTGCCTACCTTGGCCTCCCAGATTGCTAGGATTATAGGCGTGAGTCACTGCACCCAGCCTATAATGTTTTAATATTTGCCAATTTGCCAGAAAGATATAAGAATCCTTAGATTTCTCCATTTCATAGCCTCCGTCTATATAATAAAAAATTGATAAGTCTATCCATCACCAAAGTGGAAGATTTTAGTGCTCCTATCTCAGCAATAGCTGGACCAAAATCTATAAGATTATAGATGATTTTAACAACAAAACTAATGAGTTTTATTTACCAGACACGGAGAACCCTGGATTCTACAATTAGAGAATATATAACATTCTCAGGCATATAGAAAACACCTACATATATAAAATGACTAGATGAGGAGATAAAACAAGTTTAAAATACCAAAATTACAAGAATACAAAAATGGTTTAATAATAGAAAATCTACTTATGCAATTTTCCAAAATAGATTTAAGCTAAGAAAATCAAATTACTCCATAGACCTTGAAAAAGTTTCTGATAAAATTCAATATTCTTTAAGTGTTAGTAAAATAGAAATAGATACACAGTTGCTTAACATGCTAAAAATATTAACCTCCAAAGCTGGTATCATGCTTAGTAGAAAAATGTTAACATTCCTAGAACAGAAATCAAACAAAGATCACCAGGATCATGACCACAGACACGTCAAAATAATTAGACAAAAGAATGAAATAAGAGATATAAACTTCAGAAAACAAAAGGAAAAAATTATTTTTTACAGGTGATGTATCTGTACATCAGGAAAACCTAAGCACACCAGGAAAACCTAAGAGAATCAATTAAACTATTCTAAATAATGAGAGATAATTTGGACACAAAATCAACACAGCAGATACAAATAACCACTAATTTGAAGAGATAACAGAGGAAATAAATCCACTGTTACTAGCAACAGAAAGACAAAATATCCAGGAATAAATTTTAAAACAATATATATAAGATCAATACAAAACTACAGAGAAACAATGATAACCAAAACAAACAAAAGCTACATGTTTAGTGTAAACTAAGAAATGGGAAATTTAAGATCACTTTTTAAATCTATAAATCAATTTGTTTTGTAAATGTGGTCAAATATTCTCCCAAATAGCAAAACTGGTACTAGAACCATAGTTATATGCTGAGGGGGCCATCCTGGGTGGAAATGATTAATCCTTTAAGCAAATCTGAAAACAATCAAACAGGATGAGAACACACTAGCCAACTGATGATAAAGGAAAAGCCCAAGTCAAGCCAATAGGGGGCCACAGGAAAAATGTAGTGCTGAGGGGCCTCAACCCAAGAGGCAGGTGCTGAGAACAAGAAGTAGATTAATTAAAAGGCAAGGTTTCTAGGGGAAGGAGAAAAAAAGGAGGATTGAAAAGTGGGGGAAGGAAAATAAAGTGAGGTAAGCACTCAGAAAATGCCAGCAAAATACAAACCCTAAAAGTAGATGCATCAATTTGAAATGCAAAAGCTGTGAGGAATTCAGGAAGCACAGGTAGAGGTGGAATCCTTCCTAAAGCAGGCTAGGCTTTGAGAGCCAGAAAAGTGGGGCTGAGGTGGAAACCCTTACACAATGATGCTTGGAAAGCTACCCAGGCCCACTCTCCCACCCAGGAACCTCCAGTAAAATCAATCTCGAACACAAGTAACTGAAAAGGGATCTCATCTGCTGCAATACAAAAAAAAAAAAAGAAAGAAAGAAAAAAATGAAAATGAGTAGTGTATCTGTTCAATAGACAATGAAAGCTCACCCAAAGAAATATTGCCACAAAGCAGATGAAAACAGCATGCTAAAAACTAAAATAAACTAAAACACTTAAGAACTCAATCACAGTACAAAAAGAACACAGAATATGAAAGAGAACTAGATGGCCCAGAGAACAGTGGATGATAGTCAGATAGTAAGACAATGTGGAACAGGAAGTGACAGAACTCCAGAAAGAAAATATTAAATACAAATACACTTAAGAAACAAATATTGAGACATTTATACAAGAAGCAAAAGGGAGAACACATATCACAGAAATCATAGTAAGAAACATACACTACAAGAAAAAGTAAGAAAAATTCAACATAAAAGTTGGGAAGGAAGAAGCTAAAAGATTCAGGAAATATATCAACCAAATACAATATGAGGACTTTTGTGTGGATCCAATTTGAACAAATCAAGACCCTGAGAAAAAAATCAGGGAAAACAAAACCAGATTTGGATACTATTGAATTATGAATATTAATTATTCATTCACATTAATATTATTTTTGCTAGATGGGATAGATAATGGCACTGTGGTTAAAATTTTTTTAGCCTTTATCTACTAAAGTTAGATACTAAAGTGGTTAAGAATGAAAGGAACAGGTCTGGGCAGGGTGGCTCACGCCTATAATCCCTACACACTAGAGGGCCGAGGCAGGTGGATTGCTCAAGGTCAGGAGTTCAAAACCAGCCTGAGCAAGAGTGAGACCCCCAACTCTACTAAAAATAGAAAGAAATTAATTGGCCAACTAAAAATATATATGGAAAAATTAGCCGGGCATGGTGGCACATGCCTGTAGTCCTACTCAGGAGGCTGAGACAGAAGGATTGCTTGAACCCAGGAGTTTGAGGTTGCTGTGAGCTAGGCTGACGCCACGGCACTCTAGCCTGGGCAACAGTGAGACTCTGTCTCAAAAAAAAAAGAATGAAAGGAGCGGGACAAGGAGGAAGGCACTGCCGTGGCCACAATCAGTGCTCCAGTTGTGACAAGCCATGAGCAGCAATCCTACAGGTAACCCCACCATCACTAGCCACTGCTGATCCTGACCAAGACAGCTTGCTGCTCTCCAGCATGTTCTCCAGCCATCACCTTTGCACCCAACATATGCTATGCTACAGGCACACCCTTAAAAATGAGAAAAAAGTCCCATCCAAACAAAATAAAATTCAAAAACAAGAAGTTACAGTTGTTCCAGATCAGAAGGAATCAGTGCGAGAACTCCAGAGCACCAGAGATCCTAAAAAACAGCGTGAAAGGAAGCCCCCACAGAGGATCATAGTAGCTCTCCAATAAATGAAAATACTGAAATGACACAGAAAGAATTCCAAATATGGATTGTAAGGAAGTTCAGTGAGATCCAAGGGAAAAAGGAAAACCAATTCTAAGAAACCAGAAAAATAATTCAGGAAATGAATGAAAAATGTACTAAAGTGATAAATATATTTAAAAAAAAAAACAACTTCTGGAAATGAAAAATTCATTTAGAGAAATACAAAACACAGTAGAAAGGTTTAAGAATAGGCTAAACAGAAGAAAGAATTTCAGACCTTAAAGACAACTCTTTCAAATTAACCTAAGTCCATCAAAAATAAAGAACAAAGAATCAAGAGAAACAAAGTCTCCAAGAAATTCGAAATCTTATAAAGCACCCAAATAAAATAATTATATATAACCCTGCAGGGGAAAAAAAGGAAATGGCCCGGAAAACCTATTTGTGGGAATAATTGAGGAAAAACTTCCCTGATCTTGGCAGAGATTTAGATATTCAGATACAAGGTCAATGAACACCTGGGAGATTCACTGCAAAAGCGATTATTACCAAGGCACATACATAGTCATCAGATTGGCTAAAGTCAATGTGAAGGACAAACTCCTATAAACCATGAGGTGAAAACACCAAGGATTTTCCTTTGTATCAACTTACAAAGGAAAATCCATCAGACTAACAGCAGATTTCCCAAAAGAAACCTTACAAGCCAGAAGAGATTGGGGTCCTATCTTTAGTTTTCTTAAAAAGAATGACTGTTAGCCAAGAATTTTGTATCCTGCAAAACTAAGCTTCATAAGTGATGGAGAAATAAAGTCTTTATCAGACAAGCAAGTGCTAAGGGAATTTGTCATCACAAAACTTGCCTATAAGAAATGCTCAAAAGTACTTCAAAAATTAAAAAGAACTGTTGATACTCATCAATATAAAAATACTCAAAAGCAAAAACACACAGGTCTTGTAAAACAGTCACACAAGGGAGAGTAAAAAACAACTGGTAACAATCAACATGATGACTAGAATAGTAAGTATCTCACTTATCAATATTAACAGTGAATGCAAATGGCCTAAATGACCCAAGTAAAAGATAAAGATTGGTGGAATATATTTAAAAACACAACCCAAATATCTGCTATCTCCAAGAAACCCATTTAACTCATAAAGATTCTCACAGACTCAGGGTAAAGGGGTGGAAAAAATATTCCACACAAATGGAAACCAAAAGCAAATAAGAGTAGCTATTCTTATACCAGATTAAACATACTATAAATCAATAATAGTAAAAAAAGACAAAAATGGTGGCCGGGCGTGGTGGCTCACACCTGTAATCCTAGCACTCTGGGAGGCCGAGGCGGGAGGATCACTCGAGGTCAGGAGTTCGAGACCAGCTTGAGCAAGAGCAAGACCCGGTCTTTACTAAAAATAGAAAGAAATTATCTGGACAACTAAAACAAACAAAAAAACAAACAAACAACAACAACAAAATATATATATATATAAAACAACAGAATATATATATATATATGTATACACACACACACACACACATATATATAATGAGCCAGGCATGGTGGTGCATGCCTGTAGTCCCAGCTACTTGAGAGGCTGAGGCAGAAGTATTGTTTGAGCCCAGGAGTTTTAGGTTGCTGTGAGCTAGGCTAATGCCACGGCACTCTGGCCTGGGCAACAGAGCGAGATTCTGTCTCCAAAAAAAAGACAAAGATGGTCATAACATGATGATAAAGGGATCAATTCAACAAGAAGATGTAACAATCCTAAATAAGAATGCACCTAACACCAGAGCTCCCAGATTCATAAAACAAATACTATCAGACCTAAGAAAGAAACAAACAGCAACATAATAATAGTAGAGGACTTCAACACTCCACTGACAGAACTAGACAGATCATGGCAGAAAATCAACAAAGAAACACTGGACTTAAATGAGACATTAGAACAAATGGACCTAACAGATACTTACAGAACAGTCACAAAAAAATGCAGAATATACATTACTATCATCAGCACATGGAGCATTCTCTAAGACACATCATATGTTAGGCCACAAAACAAGTTTCAGCAAATTTTTAAAAAGTCAAAATCATATCATGTATCTTCTCAAACCACAGTGGAATGAAACTAGAAATCAATTCCAAGAGGCACTCTCAAAACCATACAAATACATAGAAATTAAACAAAGATTATGCTGCTGAATGATCTTTGGGTCAATGACAAGATCAAAATGGAAATAAAAAATGTTTTAAATTGAATGACAATGGCAACACAAGCTATCAAAATCTCTAGAACATAGTAAAAGCAGTTCTAAGAAGTATGTTTATAGCACTGAACGCCTACATCAAAAAGACAGAAAAATTACAAATTAACAACCTAATGTCACATCTCAAGGAACTAGAAAAACAAGATCGAACAAACCAAAAGCTAGCAGAAGACAAGAAATAACAAAAATCAGAAAACTAAACAAAATTGAAACAAAAAAATACAAAGGATCAATGAAACAATAAGTTGGTTCTTTGCAGAGATAAACAAAATCAATAGGCCACTAGCTAGATTAATCAAGAAAAGAAGAGAGAAGATTCAAATAAGCTCAATCAGAAATTAAAAAGGGGACATTAAAAGTGATACCACAAAAATACAGAAGATCACCAGAGATTACTAAGAATACCTCTATGTACACAAACTAGAAAAATCTAGAGGAAATGGATAAATCTTGAGAAACACACAACTTCCCAAGCTTGAATTACAAAGAGATAGAAATCCAGGACATACCAATAATGTATAGCAAGATTTAATCAGTAATAAGAAATCTCCAAAAAGAAAGAAAGAAAGAAAGAAAAACCCAGGACCAGATGGATTCACAGCTGAACTCTACCAGACCTACAAAGAACTGGTACCTATCCTACTGAAATTGTTCCACTGAAAAGGAGGGAATCCTTCCTAACTCATTCTACAAAACCAGTATCACCCTGATACCAAAGCCAGGAAAGGACATAACAAAAAAAGAAAACTACAGATCAATATCCTTGATGAACACAGATGTGAAAATCCTCAACAAAATAATAGCAAGCTCAATCCAAAAGCCCATTAAGAAGATAATTCACAGCCAGGTGCAGTGCTCACACTTGTAATCCTAGTACTCTGGGAGGCAGGAGGATCGCTTGAGCCCAGGAGTCTGAGGTTATAGTTAGCTGTGATGATGCCACTGCATTCTAGCCAGGGCATCAGAGTGAGACTCTGTCTCAAAAAAAAAAAAAAAAAAAAGGATAATTCACCATGAGTGGGTTTTATTCCAGGGATGTAAAGATGGTTTAATATATACAGAAGTCAATAAATGTGATTTACCATATAAACAGAACTAAAAACAAAAATCATGTTCATCTCAATAGATGCATAAAAAACATTCAACAAAATCCAACATTGCTTAATGATAAAAAGCCTCAACAAACTAGTCATAGAAGAAACATATCTCAAAATAATAAAAACCATATAACAAACCCACAGCCAACATCACACTGAATGGTGAAAAGCTAAAAGCATCCCCATTACGAACTGGAACAAGACAAGGATGCCCACTTTCACCAATTATATTCAATATAGTACTAGAAGTCCTAGCCAAAGCAATCAGGCAAGAGAAAGAAATAAAGGGGATTCAAATTGGAAAAGAGGAAGTCAAACTATCCCTGTTTGCCAACTACATGATCCTATACCTAAAAACCCTAAAGACTCCTCCAAAAGACTCCTAGAATTGATAAATGAATTTAGTAAAGTCTCAGGGTACAAAATCAATGTACATAAGTCAGAAGCATTTCTAAATACTAATAACAACCAAGCCAAAAATCAAATCAAGAACTTAATGCCATTTACAATAGCTGAAAAAAGAATAATAAAATACCTTGCAGTATACTTAACTAAAAAAGTGAAAGATCTCTAAAAAAAGAACTACAAAGCACCAATGAAAAAAATCGTAGATAACACAAACAAATGGAAAAGCATCCTATGCTCATGGATTGGAAGAATCAATATTGTTTAAAAAATCCATACTACACAAAGTAATCCACAGATTCAATGCAATTCCTATCAAAATACCAACTTCATTTTTCACACAATTAGAAAAAAAATGAGGTATGGAACCAAAAAAAAAAAAAAAACAAATAGCCAAAGCAATACTAAGCAAAAACAACAAATCTGGAGGCATTACATTAACCAATTTCAAATTATCCTACAAAGCAAAAGTAACCAAAACAGCATGGTACTGGCATAAAAGTAGTCACGTAGACCAATGGAACAGAATTGAAAACCCAGAAATAAAGATCAGTTGAGAATCTCACTAGGAACAAAAATGGAGATCCAAGTTACTTAAATATTTATCACCAAAAGACTCACCTGTAACCTTGCAATCTCTTCTCCAAATTTCTTCTGCTGTTTTGCCAAGATAGACTGGTGATACTCAGCATTGGCCTGCATGATACAGTGCTTTGCAGCCAAGACAGGGAACACCTCCTGGAAATAAAAATACTGACCAGGGGAGAGTCCAACCAGACAAATCACCACAGACAACATGGGATGCAGGAAGAAAAAGGAAAAGGAGACAGAAATTAGAATCACCCGATTAATGATTTAGAGATAGGTTAGTCATTAGGTGTAAACAGAAAAGACCACATGATTTTACATGGATTGCAGTATATGAATTCAATTTTGTTTTCTTCCAATTAAAATTAAGGTTTTTTTAAACTATTAATTGAATCCAATTTAGGTTTTTATAATTCCCTTTAATTGAGCCATGAAGTCAACATTTTGTTTACAAAGAAGAAAGAAAAGCATGCATTATTAGAAAGAGAAGTAGAATGGACATTCACAGAGGAGTATCAAGCATAGGGCTTTAGAAGTGTTCTTATGAGTCCTTACCCAGCCCTTAGAGTTAACTAAACCAACACTACTCACATATACTAGTGAAATTGCTCTATAGCTGACTGTTTCATCATGTTTAAAAGACAAAAGACAATAAAGTAAGTTCTCACTTTAATTCATATCCTAAGAGAGTTCTAATAAATGTTTTAACCATATAAATATGATTTAGTGTCATATAAACACTAACACTTCAGTATCACATCCTCAAAAAACACATCACAAATGCACTAAATTTATGACTAATGATTTATAGAGTGTCTTTTTGTGCTAATTTGTTTTGAAAATAATACCAGTCTAAATTAATTTTAAAAGATCCAAAACCAGAAAGGCAGTTATATCAGTAGAGGCTCTCCTAAAATGCCAAATCATACTTTGCAACCTCATCGTTAAGGAAGTACAAGATATAAAAAATCCAAGAAATATACTAGACAATTACTGTCTAGACAAAAATATAAGAAAATTTTTTACTACCTTGTACGCTTTCCTGTCTCCAAGTGAATAATTTCCTAGCTTCCTGGATCACTACTTGCAGATATTCCAGTTTTATAACTAGAATATGAAAATACCTTATGAGCTTTATTAGCAAAAAGGGAAAAATAAAACACATCTAAATCTCAAACTGCACTCATGCCAGTTCTCAAGGTAAGGCTGGAGCAAACTGGTACTTAAACAGGAGATTTTCAAGGAATACCAGGAATGCTGCAGAGGTAGCTTCCAAGTCTTTGTAGGTGACATTCTTCTCTCGGTGACAGGACTGAACTAATGGCCCAACGGGATGTAACGGTAGGTACACTGTGCAGCTGAACATGAAGTCTTTCAGATGAAAAAAAGATGAGAGGAAATCCCAAGTCTCTTTTTTAAGAGTAAGACTATTAATACCCAAGAGTCCTGGACAAATTTCTATTAGGCTCTTGGGATATTTTAAATCCTCAGGAATCTTCACATTAATTCCTTATTGCTCATTTTCTAACATGTACTATTGATGCACTTATGTGCATTTTTACTTCACCCCAAAGTTGTCTCCAATTTTGTAACACACAAAGATTTCTGAATCAATAAACTCCTCTACAAAAAATCTTGTAAGAAATATCATATGCTTAGATGAAACTAAATCCTTGAACATTTCTGAAGGAAAGTAGTTGAAACATGTATTTCACTCTAAGTTTTTTTTTAATCATTCCAAATTTACTTGTTAGTCTAGTCATTGCTTTGCCATTTACAAATGATCATCACTGAACAGTCTTTTCAAGTGCCACTTCAGAAAAGTTTACATTAAAACATAATACTTCCTGTGATATGTGGTTTAAGATGGTTGCTTTTCCTTAGCTGTTCTTTAGCAGCCCAATTTTCTATCCCTGTTGGCAAAATTTAATCCTAAACAAAGTATTGGATGAATTTAAGTTTTCTTTTCCTTTTTCCTTTATGTCTGTTTTTGCGCTTTAAGACTCATCTTTAAGAAAACAGGACAATAATTAAAAGTGTAAATAATCAACATGCTCAAGTATATACATGCTTGTACCAAATCACCAATGATTTAGAACTACATAATGCCTTGATCTGATAAAAGTATTGAAAACAGATGGCCAAAGTTTTCCAGAAAGAGTTTAGCTTGGAAAAACAAGTTTAGTAAAGGGTAAAGACAAAAGCATCCCCTAGAAATAAAAAAACTGTTCATGCATCTTAAACTTAGAAAACTGTTTCTACAAATATATACTTCTAATGCCTCTAATAAAATTTCAAATTTCTTTATAATACATAATTTTCAACTTGCTTATTGTACACAAAAATGTCTAAATAATTCCGCATGCAAAATAACCAAGTGTTTATAAAAAAACAATAACTAACCTTGGGGAGAGTATCTTTGTACTGACACTGTTTGAAAGCATCACCAAAATAATCTGCAGCCTGATTAGCTAATTTAGCTATGATGGCATCTTTCATCTTATCTGGAATAAAATATTAAATTGACCATTATAATTAAAACAAATGAGATAATCTGATATGACTCAGTATAAACACTGAGATCACAAGTTTGTATTTTTATCTTTAAAAAGCCCTTATTGATGAAATCAAGTCTTCTGCATAAAACTTAGTTATTCCACAGGCAAATCCAAGAGACAGAAAACAGATTAGAGGTTGCCAGCAGCTAGGGGAAGGTGGGAATGAGGACTGACTGCTAATAGTTAGGGTGATGATAATCTTCTAAAGTAAGACAGTGGTGATGGCTGCAAAACTCTGCAAATATACTAAACACCCTGAATTGAATACTTTAAAATGGTGAATTTTAGTGTATATGAATTCTATCTCAATATAAGCTGTTATTTTAAAAGAAAAAATTATTCTAGTTTGTATCTCTTCCACATAATGACTGCTCTCACGTTTTGTTTTGTTTTTTTTTTGAGACAGAGTCTCGCTTTCGATCCTCCTGCCTCAGCCTCCCAAGTAGCTGGGACTACAGGCATGCGCCACCATGCCCGGCTAATTTTTTCTATATATATTAGTTAGCCAATTAATGTCTTTCTATTTATAGTAGAGATGGGGTCTCGCTCTTGCTCAGGCTGGTTTCAAACTCCTGAGCTCAAGCAATCCGCCCACCTCGGCCTCCTAGAGTGCTAGGATTACAGGCATGGGCCACCGCGCCTGGCCTGCTCTCACGTTTTCAATTTCTCTGTACTTACAGCCCATATTCCAATCTCTCATACTAACTTACATACCTTATGAGAATTGTTCTTATTCCCTCATTCATAGGGACTCTTCTGCCTAGATGACCCCTTCTTGTCATTTAGGTCGAGTTAAAACAGGACCTCCTCAAAGAAAGCCTTCTTGACTAATGAATCTATTAATAAAATTGGCATGACTCCTGCTACATCATCCCTATCCCATAGCCATACCACCAGTCACTATCACATAATCAGTCTCAAAATTTTTTCATAGCAATTACTTCTCTCTGAAATTACCCTGGCTACTTAATTCTTGCTTATTATCTCCCCCACACTAAAATGTAAGCTTCTTAAAAACAGGAACCTTGCTTGTCTGCTAACTTTATCTAGAAACTATAACAGTGACTGGCACACAGTAAGTATCCAATAAATATTAGCTGAAAAAATGTTTGACATATTACAAACATATATAAGTACCATTCCAGAATTCAATGTTTAAAGACAATAGCTAACTATATCCTAACTTCAAACACAGCCTACATTCAAGTTCAGAAAAGGTGGGCTGAAAATTTTCAATAATCCTTGTAACAATTTCTAAAAGGAAAGCTCTACATTGAACATGTTATATTCTAGCCACCCTCTTAGTTTAAAAGCCTATCACTTCTTTTCACATGCAACAAAATGGAGGACAAATTTGAGTTACCTCTTGTAGCTTTTAAAAAAAATACTTCTTGGGCCTGTGCCAGCATAATAAGACTGAGGGTCCCAACAGTATCTGGAGATATGTCCACGGTAGGCTCTCGACTTAAGGCAGATAAAACCGTCTCTTTAATATGTAAAAAGGCACCACTAGCAAACTAGAGGGGGGGAAAAAGAATTTCTTTAAGATCTACAGGAACTCAGAGTTTTAATTTTCTACTGCTACACATAAAAATCATTTTAAATGTTAACCCAGTCTAAGTTACTATATTTAAACTTTTATATTGTTGCAAAACTGATCAAAAATATCTGACCTACAGACAATAGGTATCTTTCCAAAACTCTATAGAGTAACAAGAGATTTAACAAAGATTAAAAGTAAATTACAGGGGAAAACACAATAAATGAGACAAATTGATTAAGATTATTTTTTAGATACATTTCCTCAAAACTAACATGAAAATAGAGGCAATGATAAAGCATTAAATTCTTTTACTGAAATGCTCTTGCTTTGGTCTCAAACAAATTCATTGTTCAAATAATTAAACATGCTGTACTTAGGGCAAACCCCAAATAGTAAATACACTTAGTCCTCTAAGAAACAGCATTACTATCCATTGCTAATGATTTCTGTTTGGCCTTCAGAACTCCCTAGTGAAATGCTCCCCACTTGATCTTTCATCCCAATTATATTTTGTTGAGTTAATACTAAAATAACTTTGCTTTTATGAAACAAATGATACTAAGAAAAAGGAAGAAGTCAGTCTGAAATTAAAAGGTATGGATTAGATAAGTAGTCTACATAGAGATAACTCAAAGTTAAATGTATTGAAATGAACATCATGTTTTCTGTAGTCATGAAGTATTGTAAAACTAGAGTATCTGCAAGGAATGACCAGCTGACCCTGTTTAGTAAAGTAAGGGAATCATATACTAGGACAGCAAGGGATCTGAGTCTCTCATTTACAGAAGAGGAACTGGAAGCCTAGAGAGATTAAAGAACTTGCCTAGGGGCACAAAGCTTCCGGGCGGAAAGCAGCACAGACAAGGACCCAGGTCTAATACCACCAGCTCTCTTTCCATGATATCAGGTGACCTGCTGTGAACGCTCAAAGAATGGAATGTTTACTCAATAACTCAGAATGACCTCTGAGATCTCGCATGCCAATTAACTGAGTTACAGTTAACAGAAAAGTAAATAAAATTTTACTGCATTTTCACATTTTAAAATATTTGCCATTTAAGGCCTCAAAAAGAAATAAGATGTGTACATACTGTTTGTCATCTATGCCCATCCAAAATTGCACAGCAAACCACAATTTGGAGCATGTTGTTTGCTTAAAGTATATTTTCCTTTTACTTTCCCAGAAGAGCACCCCTCACCTCTCCCCTGAATTTAAACAATGGGAAACATCAGACTCTACTTCTGAGACAAGCAAATTTCATGCAGACAGTGGAAGAACCACTTGCAATTACATGAAATTCGGAATCAGAACACCTGAAATCCAAAGGGACTGCTTTATTAATACCTCTGACCTTTAGTCTCATCTGTAAAATGGGAATGACATTACATGACACACATCACAAGGTTTATCCTAGAGTCAAATAATGTACATGGAAACACTTTGTAAACTGTAATATAAAATATGAAAACATGATTATATGACATTACTTAACAATGACCACTTACTGTTCTTTTAACTGAAACAAAAAATAAAAGCTGAGTAAATAATAACCAACTGCCACAAAATAACATGCCACATTAGTAAATGATTAGTAACTAAAATATAGGTCTGGCCAACTCACGAACATGACCACATTTAAATATGACCTCCCCACAAGGCTCAAAGTTAAACTTATATTTTCTTGCAAAGAGGTCTTAAATTTTGTGACACCAGTGAAATCTGAGGTGTGTCTTCCTCTAAGAAAATAAAATAATGTACAAGTTTTTATCGTTGATTTAAAAGGGATTTACCATAAATGTCTGAGATTTAATCTCATACATTTAATCATTTGTTCAGCCAACATTTACTGAGCCTCTATTATGTGCCAGGCACTGTGCTAGGTGCTGGGTATACAAAGATGAGGAAAAACAGACCTGGTCTATAGACAGTTTATCTAAGGGCTCCAACATTAAGAATCAATTCATTTAAAAAGTGCATTACTTTTCAAGAAAACACCTGTTGTGTAAAGAAGCATCTATAAACCTAAGTGCAAATTATTTTCCATTGAATCCAAATTAGTGTTGATCATTAGGTATAAACTACTTTTCTGCATACCTGGTAATGCTTAGCAGCGGTTTTCAATCCTTCATCATTATCCAGGTTCTGCTCTGCTGCAATCTGGCTAGCTAAAGCTGCACAATTGAACAACACACAGCTCTTTTCATATCCTAAGCTTGCAAGAGCTGTAAAAAATTGAGAAGGAAAAATTTATCAGATTATTTTTTTCTAAAGAAGATGAATGTTTCCAAAAAAAATACTATGATCTCTATCCCAATGGGTCTCACAAAAACAAGTTTCCAGTCCTGTTTTCTCATCTATCATATGCTCCCATATTTCAAGCTGCCCTGTTAGGCATTTATTTGTATAATATTCCCCAACATTTAAAACTCTAAAGATCAAAAAATTACTCTTCCTCTCCTTCCCTTTACTTCCACATTTCTATGTTCAGTTTCAAAATGTAAAATCATTCTCACATTTCTCATTTAATTTCTTAAATTCAAATAAATTCTTTCCATTTTTCCACCACCTCTCAAAATTACATCATTTAATCCAGTTCCTCATTACTGCAAACCTAAGTCAATGTAAGCTCTTAGTTAGGCTTCCATGTTTCACTCTCTCATGCCAATATGTTTCTCAGAGGGCTAGCAAATCAGTTTAGCTAAAATGTGACTCTGATCGAGAACCTACACACCTCACATCCATCAGGACATTATGGATGTTACTACAAAAAAAAAAAAAAAAAAAACAGAAAATAACAAGTGTTGACAACACAGAAAAATTAGGGCCAGGTGCAGTGGCTCATGCCTGTAATCCTAGCATTTGGGAGGCCAAGACAGGAGGATCACTTGAGGCCAAGAGTTCAAAACCAGCATGGGCAACACAGCAAGATCCAATCTCTACAAAAAAATAAATAAAAAATCAGCCAGGCATAGTGGAATGCACCTATGGTCTTAGCTACTAGGGAGGCTGAGACAGGAGGATCACATGAGCCCAGGAGTTTGAGACTGGAGTGAGCTGTTGTGATCACACCACTATACTCCAGCCTGGGCAACAGAGCAAGACCCTGTCTCAAATTAAGATAAAAAAGAAACTGGAACCCTTGTGCACTGCTAGTGGGAATGTAAAATGGCACAAAACAATATGGCATAAGGTGAATCCTAAAAGATTAAAAACAGAAGTATCATATAATCCAACAATTCCACTTTTAGGTATATACTCAAAAGAACTGAAAGTAGTCTCAAAGAGATATATGTGCACCCGTATTCATACAAGCATTATTCATAATAGCCAAAAGGTAAAAGCAACCCAAGGGTCTATCAACTGACAACTTTGACAAAATGGATAAAGAAAACGTGGTATGCACATACAATGGAATATTATTCAATCTAAAACAGGAAGTATAACATGGATGAACCTTGAGGACATTATGCTAAGTGAAATAAGCAAGTCACAAAAAGACAAATACTACATGATTCCACTTATATGAGGTACCTAGAATAGTCAAATTCATAAAATAGAAAGCAGAATGAATGGTGGTTACAGGGACTGGGGGTGAACGGGGTTATACTGTTTAATGAATACAGAGTTTCAGATTTGCAAAATGAAAAAGTTCTGAAGATCTATTTTACAACAATGTGAATACACCTAATACTACTGAACTGTACGCTTAAAAATGGTTAATAAGGCCGGGCGCAGTGGCTCATGCCTGTAATCCTAGCACTCTGGGAGGCCGAGGCGGGCAGATTGCTCGAGCTCAGGAGTTCGAAACCAGCCTGAGCAAGAGCGAGACCCCGTCTCTACTATAAATAGAAAGAAATTAATTGGCCAACTAATATATATAGAAAAAATTAGCTGGGCATGGTGGCGCCTGCCTGTAGTCCCAGCTACTCGGGAGGCTGAGGCAGGAGGATCGCTTGAGCCCAGGAGTTTAAGGTTGCTGTGAGCTACGCTGACGCCATGGCACTCACTCTAGCCTGGGCAACAAAGCGAGACTCTGTCTCAAAAAAAAAAAGTGGTTAATAAATTTCATGTCATGTGTTTCTTGAAACAATTTTTTTAAAAAAGACAAATACTGTATACTTATATGAAATACCTGGAGTAATTAAATTCTGAGACATAAAGTAGAATGGTGGTTTGCCAGGGGCTGAGAAGAAGGGAAGAATGGCAAATTACCATTTAATGGGTAGTTTCAGTTTTGTAAATGAAAAAGAATTCCAGAGATGATGGTGGCAATGTTTGTACAATAATGTGAATGTACTCAAAATCACTGAAGTGTATACTTAAAAATGGTTAAGATGGTATATTACAGATACTTTATCAGAATTAAAAATAAGTTTAAAAAAAAGAACCTACGATAGTTCCCCATTACTCATAGAATTCAATCACAGTGGAATTTAACGTGTCAGGCATTGATCACCAGGCAAAGTAAGGCTCCTTACAAAAACACTGAACAAACCATCTAGGAGAACCAGAACAAGACTACAGCTGTGTGTCTGTGCTACAGAGTAGTGCCATGAAGTAAAGCCTTCCTTCTTACGGCATTGTAGGAGCCTCCCTTGGAATAATGACCAGTTTTCAATTTGCTTCCAAACCAGTTCTAGCCTTCTCATTCTAAAATGAAGCAGACAAAAACACCAGCTTCTCTGACCTACTTTCTTAAATAAATATTAATACATGGAAAATCTAGAATAACCAGGATCTGAAGAAAGCTTATAGCAAAATAAAGGAAGATCAAGATGAACTGAAAAACTAAGACCAAAGTAAACAAAGACAATTCCAGTAATAAAAGATAATATTCCAGACATCATAATCAGCATCCTTAAAGAGATTCAAAGGTGGTACATCCATAAAACAAAAACAGGATATTAATTTTCAAAAATTAGTGAATAAGAAAAAGCTCCTGGAAATTAAAAACTTGATTACCAAAATTTTTTCAAAAGAAGTGTTAGAAAATAATATCTAAGCAGCCTCCCAAATAATAGAACATAAAATGAAAGAAATGAAAAATATAAGAATTATGAGTGAAAACTCAGAACAACATCCAATAAAGTATTCCAAAGAGAGAAAAGAGACAATAAAATTGTCAAAGAAATAGAAGAAAATTTTCCAGCACTAAAGGGAGATATGAGGGTTCAAACTAAAAGAGCCAACAATAAATGCCCTAAACAAAGAATAAAAAGAAATCTGATTAGGTCTTTTGAGATTTCTAAACACAAAGAATACAGAAAGATTGTAAAAATCTTCCCAAGAGAAAAGAAATAGGTCACTTACAAAAGAACAAAAACCAGACTTCATCAGTAACACTGGATACTAAAAGGCATGGGAACAATGTCTTCAAGTTCTGAAGAAATATAATTTTAATTAATTTAGCCAGGCATGGTGGCTCACACCTGTAATCCCAGCATTCTGGGAGGCTGAGGCAGGAGGATCACTTGAAGCCAGAAACTCAAGACCCCATCTCTACAAAAAATTTAAAAAATTAATGAGGCGATGCCCACAGCACCTCAACTCACCCAGTGCCAAAAAAAAAAAAAAAAAAATTAATGAGGCGATGTTGAGGAAATATGATTGAGGAATTAATGAGATGTGGCTCATAAGATCATTATTTTATTGTATCGTCCAATATTGCTATATTAAAGACAGAAACAGGAGTTTGCAGTGTTTTGCCCTAAAGGAATATGAGCTCACATATCAAGGGCTGCCTCGCCTTGGGAGGGCTCTCAAAGCGTACCAGGAGGCTTCTAGGTTATCTCAGGTCTGTGAGCCTCCCAATTCTTGAAAGACAAGACAGGTATATATCTAGCTTACAGGATGGGAGACAGAAACAATGAGTGTCCTAGGCAAGAGATGCACCCCCTCGTGGTTATGAACTATTTGTTTTGTAAGATGGGCTTCCCGCTCTCTCCTGACTGTCTGCCTTAAGTCCACACTAACTAGATCAAAGAAATATAGAGCCACTATACCTCGTTATTCCTCTGTTAATTAATAGCTATCTCTTAGAACTTAGAAGTTAGTTCTTGAAAGACTTTATAACTGTTTGTTCACCTAGATAGATTAGAATTTGTTAGAAGCCCTTAGAAAGGACTTTTGACCCTAACCACATTGCCTGTTATGTAAATCTGTTACCCTGGCAACTAATAATTGATATCTGTGACTATAAAAACCTATGTGAATCTAACCTTGCTGCTGCACTACTGAGGGAGGGTAGTGTAGACTCCTGAGTACTCCCGCTTTATTAATTTCTTTATATAAACCTATAAAACTTTACCTTCATCTCTGTGTATTCTTTTATTTTCTCTACTTCCTATTAATTTCTTATCCTCTGTAGCAACAACTACCCAAGGGACCTGATTTATGCGGGGAGAAGTAGCTGATCTCCTCGTGGCCTCCCCCACATTGCCCCCACCCCCACCCCCACCCCAGGAAGGTACGGTGGCACATGCCTCTAGTCCTAGCTACTCAAGAAGCTGAAGCAGGAGGATCACCTGAGCCCAAGAGTTTTGAGTTTACGGTGAGCTATGATTATGCCACTGCACGCACTCCAGCCTGGGCAACAGAATGAGACCCTGTTTCTAAAAAAAAAACAAAAACAAATTAGCAATGTGCAATGATGTGCATCTGTAGTCCCAGCTTCTTGGGAAACTGAGACAGGAAGATCACTTGAGCCTTGGAGTTCAAGGCTGCAGTAAGCTATGATCATGCCACCGCACTCTAGAGCCTGAGTGACAGAGCAAGAATCTGTCTCAAAAAAATAAAAAATAAAAGAGTTTTTGACACAGAATCACTTGGCCTTCACTGTGGAAAACAGACTATCATAGGGAATCAACAGACTAGTGGAAGCAGGAGACCAGACAGGTAACTGCTGCAGTAAGATGCTAAGAGATGATGGTAGCTCAGACCAGAATGGCAGCAGTGGAGGTGCTAGGGAATAATGGAATTTTGAATATACTTTAAAGGAAAATCTAATAGGGTTTGTTGATGAATTAATTAGATGTAGGGAATGAAGGGAGACAGAGTCAGGGATGACTCCAAAGTTTTTACCTAAGCACCTTGGTGCCACAATTTCAAACCAAATTTGTGTTAGAACACAAAACAGACATTTTCAGAAAAAAGAGATTCAGAAAGCAGACCTTTTCTCAAAAAGTTACTTAAGAATATATTCCAGCAAAAGAGGAAGACATAATATCCAAAAAACAATGGCTTTAACCTGAGGGAGCAATGACCATCAAGGATAATAGCTCTCCAGCAGCTTTAGTGGGCGAGCAGTCCAGAGTCAAGCAAGAAAACACAAGAGGCCATAAAGGGAGTCTCTTGGGAAAAGGCAAACTCTAGAGAAATAGATAAGAAAATCTTGAGAATATGATAAAAGCACAGAATGTGTCTGGTACTGGAGCAAATTAAAACCCTCTAAACACACACACACACACAAAGCAGTAAAAAAAAAGTCATGGACTAAATATGAAGCAACTGGACCATTATATGACAAAAAGCTTCAAGAGGAATGAAATATATTCCAAGCAATAGATAAAAGTAAACTTTTTTTTTTTTGAGACAGAGCCTCACTCTGTTGCCAGGGCTGCAGTGTCATGGCTACAGTGCTGTGGCATCAGCCTAGCTCACAGCAATCTCAAACTCTTGGGCTCAAGCGATCCTCCTGCCTCAGCCTCCCAGGTAGCTGGGACTACAGGAACATGCCACTGTGCTTGGCTAATTTCTTTCTATTTATAGTAGAGACGGGGTCTCCCTCGTGCTCGGGCTGGTCTCGAACTCCTAGGGTCAAGCAATCCTCCCGCCTCGGCCTTCCAGAGTGCTAGGATTATAGGCATGAGCCAACGCACCCGGCCAAAAGGAAACTTTTTATACACCAGGTACATATCTCAGTCTACTACACTGCCATAAGTGTTATTATCCCAGGCTGTAGTCTGTCATTTTATTTTGATAATTTTTCATGTATGAGACTTCCTGAGGATTGTTTTTGTTCTTGTAACTAAATCTTATCTTTATTCATTTATTTATTTCTGTGAGACAGAGTCTCACTCTGTTGCTGGGGCTAGAGTGTCACAGCATCAGCCTAGCTCACAGCAACCTCAGACTCCTGGGCTCAAGCGATGCTTCTGCCTCAGCCTCTCGAGTAGCTGAGACTACAGGCATGGGCCACCATGCTCAGCTAATTTTTCTATATATATTTTTAGTTGGCCAATTAATTTCTTTCTATTTTTAGTAGAGATGGGGTCTCACTCTTGCTCAGGCTGGTTTCGAACTCCTGACCTTGAGCGATCCGCCCGCCTCGGCCTCCCAGAGTGCTAGGATTACAGGCATGAGCTACAGCACCTGGCCCACATCCACTCTTAAACCAGGAATTTTTCAATTCTCCTTTCTTCAAAAATCACTTCTTAAATATTTAACTCTATTCTTTTTTCTTACATGATCTCTTCTTTTCCATAGGTTTTTCAAAATGAAAATAACCTGATTATAAATAAAAATAGCTTTCTAAAATTCAAACAATTGTTAAAAAAAGAAAAGCAAAAAAAAACTACAAACAAAAATAAATTAAAAACCACTCAATATCCCACCTCTTAGAGTTAATTACTGTTAATTTTTTGGTATCTTCACAAATAACTACATATATATTCACATACTTTTCACAAATTGAATACTATACCATACTTGAGTTACCTGGAATGTACAACTCCAGACAGAAGGAATTGCACTGGGTTCTATATGAGGGGTATCCAGGGAGCCCAACTCAGGGACTTTAGAGTTGTACAGTACAGCAACTCTGAACTATAACAGGCCTTTCAATCAATATTCCACTGATAATAGCTTTATGTGTCAACAAATACACATCTGCATTATTAGTATTCTAAAATTACATAATTTTTATCTAATCCTTTAACTAAGAAATTAGTGAAAGACATTTAATTCCCAATTTTTGCTACTAAAATGCCTTGATTAACCACCTCCTGCTTTATTTATGCTCTCAATTATTTTTGCTTTCCACCTCTTCCTGGAACTTGATTCATCACTCAACCTATCTCACTCCAGTATCTCCTAGTTCTCCTGCCATCTGCTCCTTATTCTCACCCTACCAATTTTCTTAAGTCATAACAGCTTAAGTTGTAAGTCATAACTAAAAATCCCTTCCTTCACCTTGCCTTCCTCTTAGAATAGTGCTCCCTTTGTCCTCAAATACTTACTGCAAATTTTCTGAAATGACCAATCCACATTTGCTGTTTCCATTTCCTCACCTCCCATCCACCCCTCAACTTGATGCAATCTGGCTTCTTCAGCAATGCCCCTAGTGAAACTTTTATCACTTCCAAATCCAGTGACTTCTCCAACTTTATATGACTTGACTTCTGCCACAATAACTCTTGTCAATGATGTTACAACCTGCATGATCATCAGAGTCACCTGGGGGTATTTTCAAAGATACTAACTCTACTGCCCTATCCTGAAATTTCCTCCTATCACATCTGGCATTCTGTATCTTCATCTTTAGAGATAAATCAGTATCATTAACATTTTTCCCCAGGTAATTCTAATACGTAGCCAGTTCTAATATGTAACCTTTGAAATCTGGCATTCACTTCCTTGTCTCTATTTTTCCCTGGTTCCTGTAAGATCTGAAAGCTTTTTTTCAACCTCATTCCCAGAACCTCTTCCTGTTTCCCCTGAATATTATATTTCCTAGCTCCAGCTTTCACACTTTCTCAGTCTATTATCTTCCAGAATAGATAAATTTATTATTACCTAATGATAACTATTCCCAAATCTGTATTTCTTCCTTTTCCGTGCTTTAATCCATTATTTTCAAATGCCAGAGAAATTTCTAGCTAGATGTAATACAGAAAAGTCCAACGCAACCTATCTATTGAAAGGAATAAACATCTCCAACAGGTCAAACTAAGTTATAAAATCTTCAAATCAACCCTCAATTCCTCTACTCTTTCCTCAGACTGACTGACGGTCAGCAAATCCAGTCAATTTCGCCTCTAAAATGTCTCTCAAATCCGCCTTTTCTCCTCTGACCCACGTATACTACCTTGTGTCTAACCTTATTCTCTCACCAGTCTCCTAACTGGTCTGTTTCTCTCTGGTCCCTGAAGTTAGGCTTCCTGGATTCATATCCCAGCTTCATTAAATCCTAACCATATGACCTTAGAAAATCACTTCATCTTTCTAAGCCAGTTTGCTCAACTAGTAATAATAACATCTTTCCTCATTAAGCTACTGGGGAATTCAGTAAGATAATATTATGTAAAGTCCCTTCCACAGTGCCTGGATAGAAAGAAACACTCAATAAACATTAACTATTAATATATGAGGGAAAGAGTACAAATCCAGGAGTGTAATATTCACAACTCTTCACAATCTACTTTCCAATATCATCACCCTCAATAATCCCCAACTGGACCTATGATTTCAAGCCATAAGTATTATAATATATACTATATAAAATTATATAGTATTTCCATATCCTCACCTACACATAAGTACACATTTTATATATATACACCTTATATAAGAGATATAGAAGATATATAATATATGTAGATATATCATATGTACTATATAATATATATCTATACCTCTTATCAAGTATATAAAATATTTTTTGTATACCTTAATATTATACAAGATATACTATAATATATATTGCATAAGGCATACCTAGATGTGCCTTATCTATACGGCATATATAATATTACATATTATGTTATATTACATTATTATTCATTGCTGCTAATACTTATTAAGCACTGTTCTAAGGACTTTACATGTATTCACTCATTTAATACACTTAAGATCCCAATGAGATAAATAGTATTAACCCTACTTCACAGATGAGAAAATTAAGTGCAGAGAGGTTATCTTTCTCAGGCTAGTAGATCAAAAAGCCTTTGCCCTTCTGACCTTCGGTTATGACGTTGTACCTATATCATTTTCTACCTGGAAAAAACAAATTCATCCTTCAAGGCCTACCTCAAACATTGCTTGCTTAAACAAACAGAATTAACTTCTTCCTCATTTATGCTCTCATGAGTTCATTCACAGGCTGATATAGTACTATATTATATTTTAGAATGATCAACTGTTTTCCTAACCAGACTAAATACAACTATCTTACTCATTTTTATGACTAGGACAGTGCCTGGCAAGGTATAGGCTCTCTATAAATATTTCGAAATTGCATTAAAAGTTGAAGTTAAAAAGAAAATGAGATGTAAAATATTTTAGTATTTACAAAGGGTCATTAGGAGAGAAACTTAAAAACCAAAAACAATGCAAAATAATTTAGACCAAGTTTCCTATCACTTTTACATACCCAATTTCACAGATCCTCCAAAAAGCGAACCTTTATCGAAAGCATCCTTCCAGGTAAATGTCAAGCAGATCTGGAAAGAATGAGAGAAAAATAGAAAATTACGTTACCTTCCTGGAGCTCATTAAATATTAAGTCTCATTTGAAGAAAAATCAACAATGAGGAAAAGGACAAAAGCTCAACTTACCTAAAACATTATCTCATCTAACAAACTCATTTTTCTTCTCCGAGATCATAACTTTTTTTTAAGAAGTAAAATACTGGTGCTGGTATATTTAAATGGTCATTCTGCCTCAGTAATCATAAACATTATCTTATTCATCATCACAAACACAAAATGGCTTTGCCAGAACAAGTTAATAAAATGCTTATAAAATAAGCCAAGAGAAGCAAAGGCAATAAATAAAGTAAGTACTACAGATTTTCTAGAAGATTAAAAACAACTATTCCATGATGACAGAAGTAGGAGAATGTTTACTTCAGGGAGACAGGATGAGATAATATTTTATTTATTGATCTGGGTGGTGGTTATACATGCAAATTCACTTTTGGAAGATTCAAGCTATACACATGATTTCTTCACTCTTCCCTATGTATACTATACATGAGTAAAAATTTAACTTTATAAAAACACTGTATCTCTGCTTCTAAAATAAATATACCACATATGAAGGTTAAAAAGAACTTAGCCTCATTTAAATTATTTATTGCAGTCCAACATAAAAATTTTTAATGCTGGAATAGGAAAATTTTCAAACATACACAAAACTAAAGAGAATAAAAAGAATGACTTCTACATACCCATTAGCAGCTTTAGTCTTTTGTCCTTCTTGATTCCTTTACCCCTCAACTTCCTCTGTCCCCACACACCTAGCCATTCACACATACTTTTTTCCCTGGTATTTTTTTTTTTGAGACAAGAGTCTCACTCTGTCACATGGGCTAGTATGCCATGGCGTCAGCCTAGCTCACAGCAACCTGAAACTCCTGTGCTCAAGCAATCCTCTTGCCTCAGCCTCTCAAGTAGCAGGGACTACAGGTGTGCAGCTGGGACTAGTAGTTGTGCACCACCACACCTGGCTAATTTTTACTATTTTTAGTAGAGACAGGGTCTCACTCTTGCTCAGGCTGGTCTCAAACTCCTGACCTCAAGCAATCCTCTCACCTTGGCCTCCCAGAGTGCTAGGATTACAGGCATGAGCCACTGCGCCCGGCTTCCTGGTATATTTTAAACCAAATACCAACATATAATTATTTGACCTATAAAAACTTTAGTATAAGAATGTTTAAAGTACTTTAATTATAATATTTTTTAATTTAAAAGTATCATACAATTTCAAAACTTTTATCAAGTCTCCAAAATGAAACTATAAGATATTATCAGCATTTTCAACATCTAGCCTTTAACAGAAAATAAAAATGACATTCTTATAGTGTAACATCCAATCATAACAGCATTTGCAACTTTTAAATGCAAATGTAATTTGTGCCAATAATTTTTAAAGCACAAAAACTAACACTGATATTTCCTGAATTATGCAGTTTCCTTAATTTTGTTTTTGTAACAGTCAAGGGGAAGGATACAGCAGATTAATCAGTCAAAAGATCCTACAGATATAAAGTGCAGTCCAAAAAAAAATGCAGTCCAATGCCCTATGAGCCCCACAAGTCTGAAGAATGACATGAACAGAATTCCAGGAGACTGTTTCTCCTTCAGAAGGACATAGATGCTATGAGACTGACTTCAAAGCTTCTAACTTATATAAAACTATTTCAAAAAACCTAAAGGCAGTGAAGAAGTATAACTTATTTTAATAAAATGATACCGTTAGTGGAAGAAAATGGGTGACTTACCAGTACCATATAACTTTAAAACAAAATTAATGTCCTAGCACTCTGGGAGGCCAAGGCGGGCGGATTGCTCGAGGTCAGGAATTCAAAACCAGCCTGAGCAAGAATGAGACCCCATTTCTACTATAAATAGAAAGAAATTAATTGGCCAACTAATATATAATATATATACAAAAAATTAGCTGGGCATGGTGGTGCATGCCTGTAGTCCCAGCTACTTGGGAGGCTAAGGCAGGAGGATTGCTTGAGCCCAGGAATTTGAGGTTGCTGTGAGCTAGGCTGACGCCACGGCACTCACTCTAAGGCAACAGAGTGAGACTCTATCTCAAAAAAAAAAAAAAAAAAAATTAATGACTTACCTGATTTTCAGAAAATGGGAATTTGGGTTCAATGGAACAAATCTGATCATAATATCTAAAAAACAAAGCAAAATTAATAATTATCAGTACTAAATATCATATGCATTTATGTTTTTTTCCAGCATATTATGGGGGGTACAAATGTTAAGGTTACGTATATTGCCCTTGTCCCTCCGCCCCCCTCAAGTCAGAGCTTCAAGCATATCCATCCCACAGCTGGTGCACATCACACTCATTATGTATATATATACCTATCCCCTTCCCTCCCACCTGCCCCACACCCAATAGATGTTATTCCTATATGTCCACTTAAGTGTTGATCAGTTAATATCAATTTGCTGGTGAGTACATGTGGTGCTTATTTTTCCATTCTTGGGATATTTCACTTACTAGAATGGGTTCCAGCTCTAACCAGAAGAATACAAGAAGTGCTACATCACCATTGTTTCTTATAGCTGAACAGTACTCCATGGCATACATATACCACATTTTATTAATCCACTCATGTATTGATGAGCACTTCGGTTGTTTCCACATCTTTCCAATTGTGAACTGTGCTGCTATAAACATTCGAGTGCAGGTGTCTTTTTCATAGAGTGAGATTTTTGTTCTTTTGGGTAACATGCATTTATGTTAATATAACTAATTTAAGAGTATATAAAAATTATTAATGCTTACTTTGAGTGGCCCACAAATCAAATTCAATCAGCTATTTTAAAGTTAATAAACATAGTCCTTTAATGTATAAACCAAGAGCTAAAATATATGCAATGAAAAAACTATGACCAGCTGGGCATGGTAGTGCACACCTATAGTCCCTGCTACACGAAAGGCTGAGGTGGGAGGACTCCTTGAGCCCAGGACTTCAAGACCAGCCTGGGCAACACAGCAAAACCCCATCTCTAAAATGAATAATAAGTAAAATAAAGTAAGTAAAAGTAAAAATTAGGCCGGGCGCAGTGGCTCACACCTGTAATCCCAAGCACTCAGGGAGGCCAAGGTGGGAAGATCACTTGAGGCTAGGAATTCAAGACCAGCCTGAGCACAAGCAAGACCCTATCTCTACAAAAAACAGATTAATTAGCCAGGCATTGTGGTGTGTACTTGTAGTTCCAACCACTCGGGAGTCTGAGGCAGGAAGATCACCTGAGTCCAGGAGTTTGAGGTTGAGGTGAGCTATGATGACACCACTGCACTCTAGCCCAGGCAACAGAGCCAGATCCTGTCTCTAAAAAATAAATAAATAAAACTATGAATAAAAACTCACACCCACAACCATAGAAAAATATTTATGAACTATTACTGGCTAAAAATATACCAACATTTGCTCAGGAAACCAATGTATTTCTTAAAATACTATTTCTTATTAAGATAGCTATATTTATATTGGTTAGACAAATTAATATCTCTGGTAAACTGATTAAAAACAGGTTTGCCAAGTTTTGAATGTTTTAGGTATGTCCTCTTCTATCCATCTCCACCACTGCCAAACAACTCATCAAAGCTACCACTCTTTCATATGGACTAATCAAATCTTAAAGGTTCCTAGCCAATCTCCCTGTCTCCTTTCTCATTCTGTCCAATCTATTCTCCACACAGCAGCCAGAATGATGACTAAACATAAAACAAGACACTTCGCCCTTATCAGGGTGAGCTTTCAACTAAAAAGGCTGGTGGGAAAGGGAGGGGAAAAGGGTCAGGGCAGAGCTTTCTAACTAGCCTCTCACCTTTCCTCCTTTCCTCTTTCCCTTATACCACCCACCCCTTCACTGGGACTATCTTTGCAATGGTTAGTTCTGGGAGCAAGTTTTCAGAGAGAGGAGGAGAACATGTCTGAGACTTTTCTGTCTCAGCTGTCATGAGCTTTTGGCTGGCATGGCTATGAGTTTGGTTACAAACAGGAAGAACAGGGCAATTAAGTAAATAAATACATTGAGGATAATGGGTGCCAAGTTTCTCACAATCAAACAAAGGAATTACAAATACAGGAAGACAGAAGGCTAGAATAAACCTTGCAATTTTGGACTGGAACTCAAGGTATCAGTGTATGATGCCAAGGCCTAGAAACAGTAACAGCTCATAGTAGCAATAAGCATACCTAGTGCCCAAATAATGTTCTGCATTAAAAGGACCCAGTACTCCTTAGAGAAATATCTGACTTCAGGCATAAGACTGAGAAAATTCAAGATTCAAGCCTCAAACATCTTGCAAAGTTAAGGAATTACTCAAAAAATGATGAGGACATATCAAAAGAACACAGGAAATAGCTTTAATGGGCTCCCAGTAGGAAGTATAAAACCAATTTGTTAAATAAGTAACAATAACAAATCATAACCCATTGAGAAAAATGAGAACACCATTCTGAAGTAAATAAAACAAATAACTAATTGAGAAAGCTCTACCCTACTGTACTGTACTGTGAATGGAGTTCAAAAAGTCATAATTTGATACTTTTCAGAGTATAATATCTGATTCTGGTAAGATTCATCAATGGATGTTAAAATAATGAAAGTTTGGTGAGAAACAGGATATTACATAGTCTCAAAATATCTCCCCACAAAATAGTTAACTAATCACTACAGCATACTAACTATAAGGTCAAGAAACCTGGCAAACACCATCTTAACCAAGTGATAAAAATGAACATTACCACTAATTGGACAAATCAACATTTTGCTTTTTCTGATATGCACTAAAAGGAACACAACATCACTTCACTGGTACTGCTATACAAAAACTCATAAACCACAAGAAAATATGAGATGAACCCTTATTGAAAGACATTCTACAAAGTAACTAGCCTATAATCGTCAAAATGCCAAGGTCATGAAAGATGAGAAAACTAAGAAATTGTTCCAGATTGAAGGAGATTAAAGAGACATAACTAAATGAAATGCATGATCCTAGATTACTTCTGAGCCTGTAAATAACATTATTGCAGAAATCCACAAAATTTGACTTAATTCTATGTATTAAATGATAATAATAAATCAATTTCCAAAGTTGTAGTACTGTGGTTTTCAAAGTTGTACTGTGGTTATATAGGACAATATCCTGTACTTAGGAAATAAACTTTGAAGTATTAATAGTGAAACCCTTTAATGGATTCCCATTATACTTAAAATTATATCCAAAAATTCTGATAAGGTCTTGCATTATCTGGCCATCATCCAACTCTCCAGCCTCATCTCAGGATATTCACTATACATTCTAGTCACTAAATTATATGCTCTCCTAGCTCAGGGTCTTCATTTTTTCTTTCCCTCTCTACCTGGAAAACGTTCCCATCCCCATTTTCCACTTGTATATAGGTTGACATGTCATCAAAGAAACTTCTCCTCAGTCATTCATTCAACAAATACATATTAAGAGCTTACTATCCACCAGACACAGTTTTAGGACATAAAGGAATTCGGCAGTAAACATAAACATTTAAAAATTTGTGCCCTTCTCAAGCTGTTAGGAAGACAAACAAGATAAAGAAGTAAAAATATGGTATGATACTGTGGTCCTCAACCCCCAGGCCCAGGCCACGGAATGGTACCGGTCATGGTCTGTTAGGAACCAGACCACACAGTAGGAGATAAGCAGTGGGTGAGTGAGTGAAGCTTCATGTACATTCACAGCAGCTCCCCATGGCTTACATCACCGCCTGAGCTCCACCTTCTGTCAACTCAGCAGTAACATTAGATTCTCATCGGAGTGCGAACCCTACTGTAAACTGCAAACAGGAGGGATCTAGGTTGTGCGCTCCGTCAGAGAATCTAATGCCTGATGATCTGAGGTGGAGCTGAGGCGGTGATGCCAATACTAGGGAGCAGCCACAAATACAGATTATCATTAGCAGAGAGGTTTGATTGCACAATAAATGTAATGCACTTGAATCATCTCAAAACCATCCCCGCCATCCCTCATCTGTGGAAGAATCGTCTTCTATGAAACCAGTGCCTGGTGCCAAAAAAGTCGGGGACTGCTGGTATAATAGATAAATGACATCTATGACATCATAGAGAAGTGCCATGGAAAATAAAGAGGTAAAGGGAATAAAGAGCATAACAGGGGTGAGGTGATAAGGCTCTGGTTTTAAATAACATGGCCATTTGACTACATGAAAATTTGTTTTAAAAATGTTAAAACAGCATGAATAGAGAAAACACGAAAAAGGTGATAAAGTGAGCCATGCAGATACCTGAGAAAAAAGCATTACCAGTCTAGGGAATGCAAGTGTCAACACCCTGGGACGAGTGAACCTAAGAATATATGGCATGGTAAGGAGGCCAATATGGACATAGAGTGAGTGAGCAAAGGAGAAAATAGTGGGAGATGAAGTCAAAGAAGTAATGATTCCTTGAGTATTACTATAAGACTTTTGGCTTTTACTATACATTGTGACAGCATGAACCATCAGAAGGGTTGGACAAAAGAATAATATGATCTAAGTTATTTTCATCAATTCATCATGGCTGCTATGTAGAAAACCAACTGCAAGTGTGCAAGGGCAGAGGTAGAGAGATCAGTTAGGAAGCTACTGCAATAATCCAGTCAAGAGATGATGCTAGCATGGAGCAACATGGTTCATTGGTGGCAGAAGTGATAAAAGTCAATCTAACCCCCTTTTTTTTCAAGGCAGAGTCTCACTCTGTTGCCCCAGCTAGCCTGCCATGGCGTCAACCTAGCTCACAGCAACCTCAAACTCCTAGGCTCAAGCAATCCTTCTGCCTCAGCCTCCTGAGTAGTGTGGACTACAGGCATGTGCACCATGCCCAGGCTAATTTTTCTATGTATTTTTAGTTGCCATTAATTTCTTTCTATGTTTAGTAGAGATGGGGTCTCGCTCTTGCTCAGGCTGGTTTCAAACTCCTGACCTTAAACGGTCCACCAGCCTCGGCCTCCCGGAGTGCCAGGATTACAGGCGTGAGCCACAACGCCCAGCCAATCTAACCCCTTTTTAGTTTCCTCTTTATTTATAATTTTAGGTCCCTGAACATTTGCTTCATAGGCTTTATCATATGCCATTTGTTTGTAGGATGATGTTTAATGTCCTTCTTTCAAAGG